TGGAAATTTTTTAATTTAATTTTAGAATTAATTATGTTTTAAATTAAATAAGTTAAGTTTGATAAAATAATTTTAGTTTTACATATTTTTATCATAGAGTAAAAGATTTCTTAAATTTATTATAATATTCATAAATTAATTATGTATATCACAATTTTTCTATATATTTTATGTTATTATTTATTTTTAATAATAATTTTTTTCTTCTTTTAAAAGATAAATATACATCTCGACAATCCGTAAATAAGTTTGATAATGCTAATTTGATTTAGATGAGTGCAACTGATAGATATAATTGTTGTCACCAAACCAAATGCTGATGATCAGTACTAGCAATTAGCAAACAAGATTATTTTTTAACAACAATCATGTTTACCTAACCTCTTTTCTTTTTTTCTCTTTTTTTTTTTTTTAGTGTTGGCTAATTTTGTTTATGCAGTGGACCTATTTCATAATCATCTGCTCAAATTTGTAGTTGGTAAGTACCTCTCTAATCCACTTCTTTTTCAATTAATTTATAAGAAAAATATGTTTATCAACCGAATATGTAAAAAATAAAGTGAAAAATATTTTAAAATTACATTGTTTTAATATATTTTATTAAAAAAATTAAAACATCTTAAATTTTAAAATAAGATTTGTTTTAGTTTTTTTATATATTATTTTATTAAAATAACATAATTTTAAATGTTTTTCTTCAAGCACTAATCTCTATATTATTATATTATATATGAAACAAGCATAAAATTTGATTAGACGAATGCAACTCTGATATATAATTGACTTAACAACAATCATCCCTATGTAATTGGTTTTTTCTTTTATTAAATTTCTTCCATTACAATAAGTTAACTTCATTTCTTTTCAAAATTTTGGATCGATAGAACTGCCAGTCCTTTGTATTCTTGAAAAGTGCCGAAGTTATCATTTATTCAACTCCCAGAATATGCAATTGTCCTTGAAATATTTTTCATCTCCTTGATTAAGTCCTTCCATTCTTAATTAGTTGAAGTTAATGCAAGGGTTATTAAGTCATTGTTGGAATTAACTGCACACAATAAGTGCCTCTCAATAATCAATGAGATTTTCTAAATAAATGTTAGACAAACCTAAATCAGTTACGAAGCATGATTGAAATATGATGATTGCCTATTTGTTATTGATGATTGATTATTAACAAATGGTTTACACATTTTGTAATTAAATTGTATGAAAAATATAAATGTTAATTTTGATTCATTTAGTTAGGCAATTAAAATTTTACACTTGTCAATGGTATTAAAATAAAGATTAATTTTTATATTTTTTTTAATGTAACTTAATTATAAAAAATATATTTATTATACCTTTAATTTGTGAGGCATCAAATTTTAAAAAAACCGATTAATAAAAGGAGAAAGATTAATTACAAAGAAAAAAAACAAACACACACAAAAAAAAAAAAAAAAGGGTAAAGTACTAATGCTTGCTTTGTGACAACAATCCTTCTTCCAAAGCCTCTCTAATTGTCTTAAAGGTTGAATATAGGCACTCTAAAATTCCAATGTCAAGAAACAGAGTACACAATACAATATATAAATCTTTTGAGATTAGTATTTATTAGTTAGACTTATAAAAAGTTATGTAAAAAAAATTTAAAATTACATCTTTTCTATAAAGTATTACAAAAAAAAGATTAAAATAGTCTCATTCATTCATGGTTTAAAAATTAAGATATTTTATTTTTTTACAATACAAATTTATTAAAATGACAAAATTATTTTTCTGTTTAATTCTTTACAAGTTTGGTTGATAAAGCATTTTTCTTCAAATCTTTAACCTAAATTTTTCTAAAAAAAAAAAACACACACACACACAATATATAAATCAATATTATGTTATGGCAAAAAGAAAATAATGTTTTTGTTTTTTTTGCAGATATTGTTTGTACATGGATCTTATGGCGTGGAATATTAACCATTATTGGAATTCCAACTATCATCTTATTTTTGGTCTTCAAATGGAGGAGTAGGCATTTATCCATGTACGATTCTATTGAAGAATTCTTGCAAAACAACAATAACTTCATGCCTGTAAGGTATTCTTACTCGAAAATCAAAAAAATGACCAATGGTTTTAAGGAGAAATTGGGTGAAGGAGGTTTTGGTCAAGTTTATAAAGCAAAGCTTCAGAGTGGTCGCCTTGCAGCAATAAAGATGTTGGGCCAATCAAAAGCTACAGGGCAAGATTTTTTCAATGAAATTGCTACCATTGGAAGAATTCACCATGTCAATGTGGTACAAATGATTGGCTTTTGTGCTGAAGGATCAAAACGTGCCCTTGTGTATGACTTCATGCCTAATGGTTCCCTTGATAAACATATTTCTTCTGCAGAAGGCAATATTGCAACTTTGGGTTGGGAAAATCTATACAAGATTTCTCTAGGAGTGGCTCGTGGAATTGAGTATTTACATCAAGGTTGTGATATGCAAATCTTGCATTTTGATATCAAGCCTCACAACATTCTTTTAGATGAGAACTTCACTCCAAAAATCTCTGATTTTGGTCTTGCAAAGTTGTATCCAACCAAAGGTAACATCGTGTCCTTGACTGCAGCGAGAGGAACCTTAGGATATATGGCACCTGAGCTATTTTACAAAAACTTAGGAAGTATCTCTTACAAAGCTGATGTGTATAGTTATGGGATGTTATTGATGGAAATGGTGAGCAGAAGAAATAATATGAACCGATTTGCAGAGCATTCAAGTTAGATCCACTTTCCTTTGTGGGCATCAGAGCAATTGAACAAAGGAATGGATCTAGAAATAAGAGAAGCCACAGAAGATCAAAAAAGAATTGCAAAGAAAATGATCATTGCAGCCTTGTGGTGCATACAGATGAAGCCAATTGATCGCCCTTCAATGAACAAAGTCATAGAGATGCTTGAAGCAGAAGTTGAGAGCTTACAAATGCCTCCCACCCCTTTCCAGCTTTATCCCCATGCAGCACAAGAAGATGATGTTATAGAGAAAACCTCCCTCACAGAATCTACTAGTTTCTCTTCATGCAATGATATAGAGATTGAGTCCATTAGTTTACTTGGAAATGAAAATTAAGTGGGATGGTAGTGAAGAAGCTCGTATTTGTATTAGATTTGCTTCCTTTATAGTATAACCAAGGTAATGAATTTGGTGTTGCGCTAGAATGTTTGGCATCCTGATAGTTATGTATATTTAAAGTGCATGAACTAATTCTAATTATTTTGCCTATAAAATCAATTGAAGAATTCACTAAGAGTTAAATTTTATGTTTCAAAACTTAATTAAACTTTAGTTTAACACTTTGTTTGAGAACACTCCTCGATACTTTAGCCTTTAGCTTTTATATCTTTTTACTATTTTGAAAATATATAAAATGTTAATTAAAATAAATATTAAATATATGTTATATATGTTATATATATTTTAGATGTTAAAAAACCCAAAAACCTACAACTACAGCTATAGAGTAATGTTGTCAAACTAAACCTAAATCATGTATCTAGAGTTCATTTCCTCTTCATTTTTTGTCTCTATAAAAGCTAATAATTCTAAAAAACTAATTAAGCTCCTAACAAAGAAGCCAACATAACTATGACTTCTAAAAATTTTGATGTAGAAAAAATCAATTGTAGGGTTGCACCAGTTTCATTTCTCTCAGTAAGAAGTAATGGTCAGTATTCCTGAACTTGCCAAGAAACTAAAACCCAGGCATTAATTGATGATGTACAAAATTGACTTTGACAATTCTCATGCAAAAAAAATTCAATTGTGGGGTTGCATCAATTTCATTCCTTTCAATAGGACAATAACCAAGTGCGATAGTTGGTGTTTCTTAACTTGCCAAGAAATTAAAACCCAGTTATTGTTCGGTGAAGCACATTTTGTAATTGACTTTCAAAGTTCTCATGTAGAAAAAAACAGTTGTGGGGTTGCATCAATTTCATTCCTTTCAATAGGACAATAACCAACTGCGATGGTTGGTGTTTCTTAACTTGCCAAGAAATTAAAACCAAGTCATTGTTTGGTGAAGCACATTTTGTAATTGACTTGCAAAGTTCTCATGTGGAAAAAAACAGTTGTGAGGTTGCACCACCTATTAGTATTAAACTGAGCAAAAACTTTCTCATCTCTACTTGTCTCCTTATGGCTAGAATAGGGCTCCTCATTGCAGCCCTTCTTCTTGCCCTTTCTCATGAAAATTGCAGTGCCAAAGCAAGCCATCAATGACCAGCTTCTTCTTGTGGCAATATTCTGAATATTTATCATGCTTTCTATTCTTGCACCGCTCCACCAAATTATAGAGACCCAAAGTATAAGTATAATCTATTCTTGATGTGAACCCCAAAGAGCGCAACGAGAACAAAGAGATTCAAAACCCCAAGGAAAGCCAAATAAGATTATAGAAGACAAACTTTGATCCGTTATTTATATTGAAACAAGAACCAAAGATATAAAGGAATTTTGACACCACACTCAAAAACGATTAAGAACAAGAGTAACAAATCAAATTAGAATGCCATAAAAATAATCTTGATAAATTTTGTAAAGTTCGCAAATGAACCAAGAGAAAAATTTAGAAAAATTTCTCAAATAATCTCATATTCAATTAACCATTTCCAATTATGGTTACAAGCCTTTAAATAACTAAATTAGTCCAACTAAGAATAAGAAACTAGATGCTATACACAAATCCGATTAAAAGTAGAATTGGATGTACACTACTTCTAAAAATGTTTGAATTTGTATTATTCCTAATAAGACATGAATTAGACTTTCAATTAAAAACAATTTTTAGCCCAAATTACCCAAAAAAACACAAATCTAAGTAAAAATAGCATAAAAATCATTCAAAACAACTTAAAATAATGCAAAACATCAGTTCGCGACATTGTAACAAAAGTGTGCATTTGTGGTCAAATTGAATGATTTTGATCCAAACTATGTAATTTAGCTAAAATAAACTCAAATAAGTTGTTCTTGGACTTAAAAATTGTTTACTAAATCTTGACGATCCTTCAAGTTTTGATTCACTTGCTGTGCATTACTTTTAGCCTAAATCTCCTCAATAAGTGCATTTACAACTTTTCGTATCTTTCTAACTCTTACTCTCATTATCAAACGTCCATGAACATACAATGGTTCACTTGATGTTATATGTGTGCTATCATCTTGATTCTCATCAATTTTTCTTGAACAATGTCACAATTTTATACCTTAATTCGGGAAAATTCTATGCAAGAAATCGATTATATTCACTCGATCAAAGTTGTGGATCCTAATGTTAATCAAGGTAACTGTTCTTCACTACCTCTCTATTCCCTTGGCATTGATAAGGTCACAACAAACAGTGATCCATATTACTTTCATCCTGGAGAAGTTCCTCTTTTCCTAAACTGTGGAAAACTAGTGAATGATATTCGCTATGTGGATGCTTCCTCTTGCATTGATGCTACTAATTCATCCAAGTCTAAAAAGGTATTATTATGCTAAGATTGGAAGAACAACAGCATTTGAATTAGAGAAGCCATGCCGGATTGAGCTGATGGTTCTTTGTCCTTTAAGAAGGATGAGTGATAATAACATTACCTACCAAGATGTTCACCATTAGTTATCATATGGATTTGAGCTTTGGTGGTTTCCCTACCCTTCTATATGGATTGGTATGCAACAAACATATGTTGGCCGTTGATTAAACACATGCACATGCAACTCGCTAATTTTGGGTCCTTTTTTTTTTTTTAATGAACTGTATGCAAATTCAATGTCTTGCTTCTCCCTGATTTTGGTTTCTGCTTTCTGGTATATTTTGCAGTTTTCGTCATGCATTACACTTATTCATCCTACACAACATTCATATTAGGTAATTAGAACCTTTCCCTTCTGGAGCTATTGTTTTTCATTTATCCATGTTGCACCGTCTTGAATCATGAAGCATTAAAAATTCAAGTACATGTGATGAGATTATAAGAAAATAATATTAAGAACTCTAGGAGAAGCATGCAATATTTATCGGATGCTTTATTTGATAACCAATTGTATCAACACATATCTTTTTTTACTCACAGGTGTGCTTCCCGGGGTAGCATCTACTTTTGCAATTCCAAGCTTCATCCAGTTTTTGTTATATAAATGGCAAAGAAGGCATTTATCTATATATGATTCTATTGAAGAATTCTTGCAGAGTAACAATAACCTTATGCCAATAAGGTATTCTTAATAAGATATCAAAAAGATGACCAATGGTTTTAAGGAAAAACTGGGGGAAGGGGGTTTCGGCAAGCTTTATAAAGCAAGGCTTAAGAGTGGTGGTCTTGCTGCGATCAAGTTATTGGGCAAATCCAAAGTCACAATCCAAGATTTTTTCAGTGAAGTAGCAACAGTTGGAAGTATTCACCATGTCAATGTGGTAAAACTTATTGGCTTTTGTGTTGAGGGTTCAAACCGTGCAGTTGTGTATGACTTCATGCCTAATGGTTATCTTGATAAGTACATTTTTACTAGAGAAGAAAGTACAACCTTGGCTTGGGAAATACTATACAAGATTTCTCTAGGAGTAGCCCATGGGATTGATTATTTACACCAAGGCTGTGATATGCTAATCTTATATTTTGACATCATACCGCACAACATTCTTTTAGACAATAACTTCATACCAAAAATACCTGATTTTGGTCTTACAAAATTATATCCAACAAAAGATAGTATTGTGTCCCTAACTGCAGCAAGAGGAACACTAGGATACATGGCGCTTGAGTTGTTCTATAGAAACAATGGAGGTGTCTCACACAAGGCTGATGTCTATAGCTTTGGAATGTTGTTGATGGAAACGGCTAGCAGGAGAAGGAAATTAAACCCACATGCAGAGCATTCGAGTCAAATTTACTTTCGTACATGGGTTTTACAACAATTGAATAAAGGAATGGAGCTGGAAATAAGAGAAGCCAAGGAAGATGAAAAGAGAATGGCAAAGAAAATGATCATTGTGGCTTGGTGGTGTATACAAGTGAAACCAAGCGACTGTCCTTCAATGAACAAAGCGGTGGAGATGCTTGAAGCGGATCTCGAAAGTTTAGAAATGCCTCCTAGGCCCTTCCAAATTTATCCATATGCAATTGAAGAAGATGATGCTAAAATGAAAACCAACCCCACACAGCTTTCTAGTTATCCATCAGATGATGATATGGAGACAGAATCAGAATCAGAATCAGTCAGTTTGATTGAAAATGAAAATTAAGCAAAACTGTTACAGAGAAGCCTAATTAAGTAGAGTTTTCTTTATTCATGAGTTATACAAAAACAAGAGGTATCCCCTTTTGCTACCCACTTCCCACCCCACCTAGATGTCACAATGGCTCTAAATTTGCATCAAGTTTTTTGATGTGTTATTGGTGTTCAATTCGCAAGAAATGGGTACTTTTCTTTCCAATTGATTAATTAATTGAGTTGCACGCGCACAGACACACAAAAAGGAACACTTACAGAAACTAATAAAATGGAATTGGCATATATTACCTGAGGCATTAAGGCATCCATCCCATTGAGAAAAATCAAGCATTGTTGTCCTAGGCAGATGCATAATTCGAAGTTGACCTGAGAGATTAAAAAAAACATTCAGATGTGATGAAATGGGACTACATTCAATGAGAAATTTGTTAGGGTATTATTTACATGACTCACTTGGAAAAATCTTACCTTGGCAAAATCAAGAATTAAGCTCCATCCATGGGTGATGGGTGTACCTTCCTAATGCATCAATCAATTCATCCTTTCAGTAATTGAATGTGATAATCAATTCTCTTCATATGAAGAAGGGGAACCCCGGATTGCATTGGGGTTTCCTAGACGTACGTTGAAAAAAAGGGCCCCGAGAGAGAGCTGTTGAATTTGGGTAAAAGGAGAAAAATCGGAAGTGGGAGGGTGCGCACGGAGGAGAAGTTAGGAATCGCAGGTAATTAGAGATTTTTCGGTGAAAGGGGAGGGTATATGCAGTAATACACTGGGACTCAGGAGACCCGCCGCTGACCTGCTTGTGAAGGAGAAGAATCCGGGCAAACAAAGAAAACAATTAATTGTAATTTGTAAGTGGGAAATATGGAAATGAGGACATTTACTAACATCCTGATATTTGAAATTTTATTATAAAATTAATCATATTAGTTGTAATTTTGTACGGTTACTGTTTCTGGTAGTCTAATTCACGGGTGGGGTTATTATTGCTGTTGCAAAATTAGGGGCTTTGAAATGCCAGCTAGTCCGTTAAGCACATGGGTCTGGTAATGTCAGAAATAGTAGAATTAAGCAGTATAAGTGATGCAGTCATGGATGACCTCCGAAGGAATTGCTAACATTATTTATTTTATTTTTTTGAACAGATTGAAATTATTTGTATATATTAATTGAGAGAAGGAGAAAGACATTTTGTAAGGCTCAGGGTTCATAGCACTGATTGGAGCGAGCTGTTCGAATTGCTTACATTATTAGGAGGGATACATTATAAAATGTTAATAGAATGCAGTATCTAGGACAAAATCTGTTAGTTATTCTATTAAAATGATATATTATAGTCAATTATATTTTCAAGTGAGAAAAGAATGAGGGAAAATAAAGACCTGTATGTTAAGAAAGAAAGCAAGTTGCAAAATCACCGCTCCAACAGCCAGTATGCACATTGCTACAACCAATGCAAACCTCTTCCATCTCAATATAGTGACAACTGAAACAACAGAAAGTTTCAAATGCCTTAGACCAATAACCCCCCTTAACGAGTTATCAAGTAATACAATCACAAACATTCTTAAGATGTTATCAATTCAAAGGATCTTTATAAGTGCTAATAGATGCAAGAAAATCTT